ACACTTCATAAGAAAACAACTAAACAGCAACCGAAATAATCACACAATTCTAAAGACCACCCGTATCATTAGTAACTAAAATGCTTTGCCATTCAAGCCAGTAAAGTTACTCACATGCTTAACCATTTTGCAGGACAGAATCCCCAATTTGTAACAGCAATTTATTTTGCAGCATTAACACCAGACATGAAAATAATGAAGCTATGCTACCAAACAGAAAATATTCCAAATGGAAAATGTAGGTGAAACGATCTGTAGTTTGACTCGCTCTTCACATTTTACAATAACATAGAAAAGCTCTTAAATGTATTTTTAGAATATCTAATGTGTTAGCATAACTTCTTTTAGAAAAGGCTACTAATGCGTATATTTGGGTTAGTGACAGAGAAGTCAGAAAAGCACATCTCCTAAATATTCCTCTATGTTAAAAAATTAGAAACAAATAGCCATTATGTAGTAAAGTAATGTGCAAACTTAACAGGAAAGCCATTAAGCCACAACTGAAAAAGCTGATATCATCCTCTCTACATTTTTCAAGGAAGGCATGACACTTGCTGAATGGCAAATTCTTTTAATTTGGTACTTAAATGTTAAGAGGAATTGTTACTGAGTTAACTGTATAATGGGAACAGTCCTGACAAAAAAAAATATGACCAGGTTTTACTTTTCATTAACCCTTCCCAGCCTGGACATGTTAGTGTGCAAGTCCATGTAAAACACTGAATAAAAACTGTGCTTGAAGGTGTGTAACAGCAGTGCATGTGTGGGGGGCTTTTTTTGAGGGGAATTAAGGTTGATTCAATGAATGGCATGCACTGAAACTTGCTGTGGTATTGGAACATGACATACCCGGTGCATTTTATGGTGTTGTAATTTTACAACTTTATCGGTGGTCCCTCGGGTCAGTCCCTTTTTGAGAAGGGAGGTAGCGTTCTTTGTTTGGCAGACAAGGTCCGATTTACAAAGTTATTTAAGGATTCAAAGGTGCAGATATGCGTCTGATGGACTTCATAATCCTTTTTTTCATCCTGTCAGGCACCTATCTACACGTTAAGTTTTCAAGAGACCTAGGAAAACGTGACCCACGAGGCAACAGAGTGTGTGGGTCTGATTCTGTTCTCACTTGACGCTGCCTGAACTCTGCTCCAGCAAAGCTCCTTCTGATGACGTGTGGCGCAAGTGAGAAGAGAAACAGATGCAGTAGGAAACACCCGGGTTAGAGACCTGCATCTTCCGTAGTGCCTCGCGTCGGAGGCGGCACTGGTGTCAGCTCTCCAGGTGTCCCTCTCCTGAAGCTCTGGTTTAACCATGTGCCAGGCTGGGAAGGGTTAAAAGCGGAACAGAGCCCCAAGCTGTGAACTAGACAATTCTTGGAAGTGTTCTTTCGTACCTTTCTTTGTCATCTTTACTAACAGATGAGTCTCGTTTATCTACATCTCTATCTCTGTCATGAGCTGCAGCAGATGAACTGCGCTCCAGCTCTCCTGGCTTCAGCCAGGGCGGAGGGGTCGGGAACGAAGGAGGAGTTCGGTGCAGTCGGTTCCAGGGCTCGTGAGGGTTGCTAAAGCTCTGCATACTGGGGCCATCCTTGTGGCCGAACATTGAGTTGGGTGCTGAAATGGTGAAGTGGAAAACAAAAAGGTTTAAGAAAAAGGTATGCTCTAGTGAAGGTACTTACCAAAAAAACTTTTACAGCACTCAGAGTTAAAATGAATACATATTATTGGGAGCTGGAAAAGGAAAGGAGATTAACAGAGATTCATTAGAGGGTCTCATTCCTAAACATGGGCAGGCATCTGACAGCTCTTTTAATTGGAAAGGGAAATGCTGTGGATAAAATTGACACGGGATGAAGCAGTAAGATAAAAGTGACAATGATCCTTAGTCCAAATATTTTGGAAACATCAGGAAATGACCATTATACGGACTATAAATAATGGAACTTGTTGCATTTGATCCTGAACCAAAGGAAAATAATATGTGACCGAAATCATGCCGGATTTGAAGTATGGAGAAAGAGAGGGATTTTTTAAAGGATGATCTTTTGTGATTGGCCAAATCTAGAGAAATGTTGATGATCCTGGACAAACAGACGCAGGTTAGTGATCTTTTCCAGGCACGTGTCCTGGATTACTGGCGAGAAAGGGAAAAAAAAAAATGTTCCCATCCACAGCTAGGGATGCTGCACACATTAACTATTTCTGAACATGCAATAAACCCATGAGAAATTTCACAAACTCCTTAGACTCATAGGTTCTATATCCTTTTTTTTTTTTTTTTTTTTTTTTTTTTTTTTTTTTTTTTTTTTTTTTTTTTTACTGAACAATGTAATGGTGACATTTAGCACTACGTTGAACCCAAACTATTCAGTAACTAATAGAAAATAATTTACTGATGACTAAAAAATGATGTTATTTAGACAAAAAAGGTCGCTTTTCAAATTCCCATCTCTTAGTCGTACGTGGTCTAAGCAACTGGTAAAAAAGACAGCAAATAGTCACCATCACTCAATATCCTGAATTACAGAGCAAACGAGAATTCAGAAGCGAAGAGGTTACTCACTAACTGTCGGGTTCCCGAGTCCCCCGAAGGCATTACTGCCCACTGCAGTGAGGCTGCTGAAGGAAGCCGGTCGATTGAAAGGCTCTGCAAACCAACGGAAACAGCCGAAGCTCACTGGCATGTTGGTGATTACGATAAAGCATTAGCGCGTTATCCGACTGCGCTACGTCTGCGTGAAAGCTCAGCCTGTGCCCATCAGGAGCTGAACATCACCCTCCCTCAACGCAGCAGTGCTTGTGAGGGGGTGGGACATAAAAACCATTGTGTTTTCCAATGACAGTATGCATGGGATCATCTGACAAGAAAAACTTCCTTTTCAAATAAAAAAAGATGTTAAAATACACATGGTATCGAGGCCTGTACTTCTGCCTAAGTAGCTACTTCATTTAAGACCTGCGAACATCTCCACTTTTATTTCCTTTTATTCCCTTCCAATTCAATTCCGTGGTCTTTCTCAGGAAACGTCCCTGGCTAGCAAGACTATGATTAACTCTGGCAACTGTGCTCCACACACCTTCAGGCCATGTCTCCTAAACTGTAGCTGGGATATAAATAAAATGTCCTATTCTGCTGCTTTGTCACGCTGACCCGAACATTTTGTAATTCTCTTCATATTTATTGCTAATATTATATGAAAAACTAGTATGGACTGAAAAATCTAGTAACAATTTTTTTAGTAATTAATGCATACAGACTGTAAGTCAGTCGTATGAAGCAAATTCTCCTCTCACTTGACTTTGGAGAAATCTAATGATTTTGATGAAACTACTTCTGATAAATACCAGCACAGAGAAAAGGAAGACCAAACCGAGCATGTTCTATAGGCAGCTAAGTGCAGAATGATAAACCTACGTCGTGAGTCTGCTGTAGCAATTTGGTGACCCTCCCAAATCCTTCCCTATGTGAAATAAAACGCCGATTTAGAGTCTTGATCTCGGATGCTCCAGTAGGCAGCAGACCACCTTCTTACAACATCAGTAAGTTAGAAGGGAAATAACAACATTTGGTAACTTGGATGGTTCTGTTTTTAAATACGTATTCACTAATTTTCACTAACAGACAAATTTGAGGCCAGATCGCAAGATTTTAAGGATCTATTTCCCACTCACTTAAATGGAAAAGTAGGAGTTTGGAAAAGAAACACCTCTATGAACCAAAGCCTTAACCTTAAGGCATTTTTTTTTTTGACTGGTTATAAACACGACTACAGTGAAACCTAACCAGCCCTGTCACTCTGCTCCTCTAACATCCAGGCTGTTTTCAGAAGTATTTCAAAACATGCGGTCAGTGATACTCTCATGTGTATTTAGAACTGCTGCTTGGGTCATGACTAAAATTAAATGGCTAAAACGCTCGATTTGTAAAGGTTAAGTAGGCAGGACACTCAAGGAGTCTCCACAGGGGCAACTTCTAATGGTCTCAGTGGTCAACGTGCGTTACTTCTGAGTTGTGTTCACCGTTCGTTCGTCGTGGAGAGAACTTACCTAAGTGAGCAGCTGGGTTGAGAAAGTTGCTGTGGTGAGGCGGTGGGCCGAAAGGGGTGCCGCCTGGGTGACCCCCACCTGCCAAAACAAAGCACAAGGGCTGAATTCCTAGCAGGAGCTCAGGAAGGGATGAGCTGGGCTCTGGGCCTGACTATCGTTTCTTACGCAGCAGCTCACGTGGGCAGAGATTGCTGCACACTGGGCGGGGGCTCTCAGGTCAGCATCCTACGCAAACAGCAGCTGCTTTGCTGAACAGAAATTCCCAGTTAGAGTATAAGGGGCGGGGGGAATGTTTCAGTAGGGGGAAAAAAAAGAGCATGTAAAATACAGCATGTTTTCAATCTGTCATCTCCACGATGCATCAGACATCACTGTGTGAATAAGCGTTCCTCCATTTAATACCTGTATGGCATGTCAGCAGGCTGGGCTTTTTTAAAAGCATATAGAAAGATTTTAAAATATTTATCAAATAGACTAATAGCCCCTGGCATGTCTTGCAGAGAGTTCATAAGCCAAAGCATATGGGAAATTTCCTTTTAATATGGCAAGGATTAGCATTTTAATGAGCACGCCACAAGAAGGAGATTTCACTTCTCAGTACTCACTGGCTGGGGAGAAGAGCGTCGAGGGCCGGGCCAGGTCATGGGGGTGGTGGATGGCTCCAAAAAGGCTGGGGCCTGGTGGCCTGCTCAGAAATTCAGGTTTGAGGCCGAAGTCCAGCTTGTGCGGATCAGACTGCATCTGTTTCTGCAATGTAAAAGCAGGATTTGGAAGAGACTGTCTTAAAAGATAGACATAAACAGCACTTTCAGAATGATACGTGTATAGCAACTGATTCATAGCAGCTGACGTTTTAACAAGAATGTTAGTTTTTGGGACCCCAAGCATAGGTGCACAGCTATTTTCCTGGAAGGGGGATCTAAGGCAGAGAGAGAAAATCTCCGGCTCCCAACGCCCATCTCCCACAAATTTCAACAGCGTTTTCACATACGCTCGCATCCATCCCTGTGGAGCAAAGCATTTCGGCACAGACCTGACTTAGAGAACAAACATAATTTGAAGAGGCCTCAGACACTTGCTTAGCTGTAAGAATAGGTCTGCCTTAAAATAATAAAAGCAAAGCTGAAGAGAAATGTTAGTTTGGACCTGACCCCAGGTGGGCGGGCATGTTAAAGGCTGGGTGAAAGCATCGACTGTAGCAGGCAGAGCCGCCAGCTGAGCCTCTTCCCACCGCAGGAATCCCTTGCCAGGCAGTTACGGCAGAGACAAGTCAATGGACACCAGAACCATTAATTTTAAACGTGAAGCTGCAATCTGGAAACACTTCATAAGAGTGTACCTTTCAGTGCCTCTCGGGCTGCAACTGAGCAAGCTAGGGGCTAAAATGAATCAAATTACAGATGAAGCGTATTTGAGTCTAAAGAATTGAAGTCCCATTTCGACTGCCCGCACTCCAAACTCAAAGCACCATTATCTCACTGTCTTTATTTATGTGGTATTAGAATGAGCAGGCTTTCTTTTTTAAGGTAAATTTGCTGAGGTAGCTGTATTCTAAATGATAAGCGGATGAAGGATGGGCTCTTCTTTGTGCCATGTACTCGTTTCAGTGGTCCCTACTTCAATAGTTTTATAGAATGAAGAGGAAAACCAAATTCCCAATTACCTGTGCTGCCAGAGCTCCCTAAACACAGATTGCTGATTAATTGTGCAGGTCAGCTGAAAGGATTTACGAGTGGGTAACACCGAACCAGTAGATCTTAACAGTAATTGTGGAGCACGTTACGCTTTATAAATCAGTGTTTAATACTGTGCCAGCTCAGAGTACGGACTATTACAATGATATAAATATGCATATTAAAAAGTTATGACCAAGCAGTAGCCGTTTTTCAAGTGCTACTAACATGTCTATGTAGCTATGAGAACAAAAAACAACAAAAAAAGGCAAAAAAGGCTTTGTCAATGTTTGAGATAATGGCCTGCCAAGAATATTGAAATGGAAAAGATGGCCAAGTTAAGGTCATGGCTTTTAAGGCAGTAATACTGTAGTGCTTTAATAATTTTAAAAAGTTCAGAAAATACAAATGCCCCAGTTGAAGCCTGCGTGCCAGATTTTTACGCTGTGAACTCTTTTTATTCTTCTTTTTAACAACCATGTTATAAACCTCTGTCAGGCATTACTCAGAATAGCAAACGCTGGCTGAAACTTTAATTGCAGCCATATGAACGGTGCTGTTCCAAATAATGAAAAAACTCCTTGTCTGAAGAGGAACAGGAATGTCACGGATGCGTTAAAAGATTCTGGAACGTGTAGGTTTACCTAGAAATAGTACCGAAGAAAATTGATCAGATTTATTTTATCTCCAGCTGCTGTTCAGGAGAGCATCCCTCTTGACGATAATCCTTACGAATGTATTTCAAGTCCAGCAAATGTGTAACACCTTAACTCGGGGCCCACCGAAATCAATGTAAATGTCTGCACTAATTTCATGGCACGGTAGATCGGGCCATAAGGCCTTTCCTAAAAGAGAGAGGGCCAATTACAGAGCATAAATTCTCTCGTGAATCCAGACCAGTAACGCACTGGTCAGTCTAAGGAGGGGTGTAAAATTGCTTTGTGCCTAGAGCTGGTGTGCAACCCTGGCTTCACCTGAGGAATTCCCTGGGCGTGCAGACAGGTTACACAGGTCTGAACTGTGTCTTGGTGCAGAGGTACAGGCAGGCAAACAGCATCCGCAGCTGCATGCAATTTTTCCTGGGGTCAGGAAGGTTGTGTTTTAAAGGTTCCTATCTCGCCTGCTTCTCCAGTGCCTGCTGTTGCCCTCTGCAAGCAATTACTAGCGGGCCAGATAGTTACCAATTCTTCCGTACTTTGCAAGCACTCTGGTGGCACTGCATGCAAACTTGAAATCTCTGAGTCAATGTATTTTATTCCCTGCTCTACGGTCAGGCAGCGTCTTCAGCTTGTGCAGAAGAAAAGGCACCTTCGCAACCTTGGGCTAGAAGGAGAAATCATTCTGTATGGGCCTTCAGGCAGAGATTTCACACCTCGTGGGCACAGGCAGAGGGGAGGACTTCACGCCCGGGTGGGAGTCTGACAGCCCACGCGGACAGAAACCAACTCGCCTTAATGCCCATGCCGAATTTTTTGACTGAACTGAGAAAGTAAAATACATTTCCCAATTATTCTTGAAATTATCATCATGCACAGCCTCAAAAAGTCAAGTAACATCCTTTCCTGTACTTCTGGGCTTTACTCCTGTTTTGTAACACACAAGATAGAAAAGTACTAGGTAAAAGAAATGGCTGCATGTAAATGGCACTTACTGAGTTATAAATACACCGGTATGACCTCTCTCTGAATATCAAATCAAGGAAGATTCAAAGGACATAGATAGCATGGGAATAATAATTTCATTTCAAGAAAATACCTTTTCAATAAAATAAAAAAAAGGACGTATAACTCTCTAGGTCCATAATCTTGTCTTTTTTGATAATGGGAAGAAGATGAATGAAGATCACTAGCAGGGGAAACATAAGGAAGCAGAGAAGAGAGATATGTCTACTGCAGCAAATTAACCTGTCAACCTTGTTTAAAAGGGTTATTTTTAAACTCTATTAGCTGCAGGTTTTAGTAGCTGTTCAACATCTTCATATTCCTATAGCGCTGCCTTATACAATTCCATGGCATACACAGACTGCAAAGCGCTGTGGGTTTTTCACTTTCTCACACAAGCTATTGACTCCTGAAGTACAAGTCTGGAGAGTAAAGAGCACCAGCCCTTCCTGACTGACTGAAAAACTTCAGGAGCAACATGGAACTTTTCAGTGACAATATTATAAAGGGAAAGACACCGGCTGGATGGGGCTGTGAGCAACCTCATCTGGTTGGAGATGTCCCTGCCCATGGCAGGGGGGATGGACTGGATGACCTTTAAAGGTCCCTTCCATCCCAAAGCATTCTATGATATGATTCTATGATTCTTCACAGAGTCCATGTGCAATAAAAATACAGTTAAAGTAAGAATGGAAATACCCTAACTATTAAATGAATAAATTACTTGGTTTTCTCTGACATCTGTCTCAGGAGAGCCTGAACTGGCCACGGCCCTCGCCCTTGAAGTCTCAAAGCACGTATAACAAAGAAAAGACTTCCACCCCTCTACCTTCGGTGCAGTGAGACAGTGTCTGGATAACGTCACCCCATCGGAGAGGCGGTGTGCGCCTAACCAGCCCAGACACGTACGGGTGCCAACCTCCAGCTACGAGATGGGCTGTGGAAAAAGACTGATGGGAGCCTGTGCAGCCCCATCGGATAAAGCATCGTAGGGACAGGAGAAATCTTCCTGTGCCCTCTTCTGACCGTGAACATTAATAAGAGGAATGGGATACACGTGCCTAGCTTCTCCACACTTAAAAAAAATTTAATCTTGATATGTTTGTGTCCTCAGCCATAAATAAAAGCAATGTTGTAGCTCACAGGCACACCCATTTAGCTCTTCCTAGCTACAAACTGGTTGTTATCGCCCAAGATCTGGCGCGTCCTTGCTCCGCGGCATCACAGACATTTCTTTGAGACTCTACGTTTAGGTATTTAATTCCAATATGCCATCGTTATGAAATGGAAGGTTATGCTATAACGCTACACGTGGTTACTTTAACAAGGCATTAGCCGTGGCATAGAACTGCTAACAGCGAGAGGCACACTGTTCCGCTCCCACGTTTGCACTGTGCAATTCATCTGAAATGCCGGCGTGCCCAAAAGACTGACCTTGACTTTCTGTTGGTGATGGTATATCTGCCAGGCGATGTGAACATGCATAGCGCACCACTTTCCAGGTTTCTGGAAAAAACAAAGGGATACAACATGAATCAGTAACTCTCAAAGACCTGTGATGCTTTATTCTAGTTAGAGCAGCTCTTGCCAGCTCTTAGCCCGGTCTGTTTTGGTCTAGGGGATTCCCCACGCCAAGACAACTGAAAGCAAAGGGTCTCCCTTCAGTGCCTTCCCCCTCCGTCCTCTTGGGAAACCAGAAACGCAAAGACTTTGTCCCTTGCTAAGAAGTTTATCCAGGAATGCTCCTAGTCACTCCCCTCTCCAAATAAACCCATGCTTGGGTTTTACACGCTCTTGCATCTTCTGATGCCACTGGCTGAGAATGCAGCTTGTGTTGCTGGAATCAATGAAACTGTCTCCCAGTTAGCAGCCGCTCTGCATGGCTGGATTGCCTCACAACCGTACGTTGAGTTCATTTCCAAAGGTGCAGCTATTTGAAGACGAGCCTTTCCACCGAAAGATGAAAATGAAAGCATTTTAAAAGATCACTCCGGTTTTCAAAATGAATCTGACTCCCTCATATAATTGCTGGTCTGTACCTCCAAAACTCTGGCTCAAAAACATGCTGAGAAGATCAGAGGTCAGCCAGTTCACTCTGTTTGGGAAGGCTCTTTGCATCCTTCCTGACACCAGGCTTTTAAGTCACGGGGAGGAGAGAGGGAGGAAAGAACCAGAGAGTGCTATTTGGGTTTTCGTGTTGATTTTGTACTCCATTTCCAGGACATCTGGAAACGTTGTCTGAAAAAGACTCATTCATGATATGCTTTCTCCAATTTTGTTATTTAGGGGTCTACAGTTAACTACACAACTAATGATATCTGCAGATTTAAAAATAATCACAGGAATTCAAGAAGCTCCTCAAGCTACTGGTAACTTAAATGTTTCACAAAGCATGGCATTGGGTCTGCCTTCTATTTCTAGGTGTTTATCATCCAACAGCTAAAAAACACAAAAAAATAACCCCCATCTCACACACATACTCCCCTAAACTCAAGCCCTTTGCTTATTCACAGCAATGGCCTGTGCTAGTGATTTAATGAGTTCACCTGGTGGGCACGACCAAAATACAGACCTTGTTGACCACACTGAAAAATCAACAAAAAAACCTTTTGGATCACCGAGAGACTGGATCTTTTGATCCTTATTTCTGTAATATTTTGTGTTTGAAGTGGATTGTCTGTCTATACTTGACAGTAGGGCACTTGGGTAGGAAGTACCATACTGAATAACACTGCAAACACACAGTAAATAATAAAAAGCAAAATCGTTCAGCCTGCAGTGAGATGACAAGGGATCGCTGCCAGGGTAGGTCTGCAGGATTTGGCTCAGGAAACCTTGTAAGCCAGCGCGATAGAAGGACTATCAGTGTTTCACCCCTAGTATTCATGCTAGGGGGCTGCACGAGAAGAACAGGAAAACTTCCACCTTTGGAACCGCGTGTTTGCCTTGAGCGACCACAAGATGCACGCAAAGAAGGACTGACCATGCCGCTCAGCAAACACGGCGTAGAACACCCAGGATGAAACGTGGCATTGCTTTATAATTAGTCTGCTGCTTTAACCCGGTGGGGACTGAGATGAGCTTGACAAACTGCATCAGAAGAAGATTTCTTACCCTCAACATGGGCCTGAACGGATCTGTCAACTGTGAAAAAGAAATGACAGCTTGGTTACATGCCTGTCACTCAAACAATTGCTCTAATTAACAAATTTGTATTGCTTCATTAAGAGATGAAATTAAAATGTGTAATTTTACTTTCAAATGAAGCCCTTTTGGATAATAATTAGTCCTTAGCCTCCGTATTCGAGCGGGTCTCCCTCCCCCCATGGCTGTTGTACCTAAGTGTTGACAAGCAACTAAACAAGCCTCACACAGAGCGCTCTGTCCTCTGGCATCATCATTAATTTGTTGATTTAATGCTACAAAAATGGCTGGTTAACTACTCGGAAGAAAAACACAGCTCTATCCTTTGGGCAAACTTCTGTTCTCATCTTTCAAAGCTGCTCGGCTTGCGAGAAGACTGGAGAGTGGACAGGACCACTTTTTCCCAGGCTTGATCCCACAAACTGGGTTGGAACGGGCTGGAATGGTGCTTCAGACGTGCCCCTGCAAACCAGTGACCGTGTCCGTTCAACGGCTATGGCGTTAGGTCCTCGACCTGTACGTTCCAACAGCCATTACTGACTGCCCGCTTGCCTGATGTGCTCGCTGTCACAAACTGGTTTTGCCTTAAATGTTTTTCACATTGCAACAGATGTAGGTAAACAGCGGCTGTATAAAAAAAAAAAATTTCTCATTATTGTTTTTTTTGTGTGGCCTGTTTTTTTTGAGGTAGATCATTTTCTTATTCTCCTTTTTTGCTCACATTTCATCAATTAATGCTGGAAAATAAATTCAATTTATTGGGTCTTTCTCATTTGTTTTGGATTTTCTTTTCTGAAATGCAATACTAAAGGAGATTTATAGGTGTAAGAGGCACTTTGCAGACTCAGTGATGGCACAATACATCATCCTGAAATAATCGAAACTACCCTACAAGTTGAAAGGGAGCATAAAGCTAAATGACTTAATGATGGGAGGCTCCAGTTATCTTTTCAATTAGATGGAATAAACAGAAATGAAAAAACATGGTTCCTTTGGGTATAAAGCTCAACTACAGCACCAATTCACAGGAAAACCAAGTCCTGGAATTTGGCACAACCCAAAGAAAAGAGCTCAGCTGTACTTAAAAGTTGAGCCATACACCACAACGTGGACCCTCAAGGAGAGCTCCCCCTTGCTTTTGTCAGCGAGTTCTGCTAAAAACATGACTGCGTGATGTTCCTCATCGCAAACAACGTATATGAACTCAAACATGCAAACAACCCACGGGCATTCGCAAAGACCAGAGAAAGGCTAAAGGACAAAGTGCTGAGACGATAAATGCTATTCACATAGGCTCACTCAAAAATCCGGAGGCGCCAAGTGATCAATAAAGTGTATCCGTACTTCGCTGGTGCAATCAATGATACAGTAACCAAGGGAATAACTGTCATTACCCACATTAAAACAATTTCAGAGTATAAACATAAATCTTGAAGAGGTTTGTACATTTCTACGCCGAGTTGGACTTTTACGCCTTTACCCCTGGGCTTGTGGGGACGCCTGCCGACAGCAAGGGAACAGCTCTCCCACTGCACAGCATCCGTTTGCTTTTGCTGATGATGAACAGAAGCAAGGATCGGGATTTAACTTGTTCTCCTACAGCTTCCCTAGTTTCGTTCAGACTAAGCTTCAGTGTTAGGATGTTAATTTGGACATGCTGAAGACGGTAGCTCTAGCTTTAAACGTTTCCAGGAGGAATAGCTTTACTTGAGAAAAATACAACATTTTCTACAGACCCGTGGATCTTTCTGTAGAAGGGTATGTGGGACAGTTCCAGGTCTGGCTGCAACATCAATAGGATTGGAAGTCTAGAAATACCACAAGGAAAGACAGCATTAATGAGTAACGCAATGCATAAAAGCAACAGAGAGTGAAAAGTAATACTTCTTTATCATTAACATTGCCCAAGCAACAAAGATAAGCTTTTTAAAGAGGAAAGGGTAACCATCATAATCCCGTTAGTAACGTATGTATTATCATCTCAACTTTCAAACTGCCATCGTCCACCAACTTCCCACTACCTTAATCCAAAACACGTGAGAGAAAAGTGACTGTTTACACTGGAAAAGCTTTCCACTATTGAAAACCTGATTAGCAACATACTTATGATACGGCATCTGAAGTAGTATTTGGAGGACCAAGCTCACGCTCTGCTGCCTACCAGTAATGCACTGGAACTGGCTGAAACTGGTAACCTGACTGTCAACGCACAAAGCATCAGCAACCTCTTTAGTCACTGTGCAAGGATCTGAACCCCATCCACAATGAGCTGTTACTGGATGGATAGCTGGAAAAGGCAACAACCAGTTGACAAAAATTAAAGCTTTTCCCATGATTTGAATGTAAATATTCAGCTCGTACGACAAAATGCATCTTTGTAAAAAAAAACAAACCAAAAACCCCAAACAACTACATTTAGACAGAACATCTTCTAAAATGAAGAAAAATAGAAATCAGCTACAGTATAACTAACAATTAAGTAACAGAGTTGTTAACAGTCTGATTACCATACATAGGAAGAATTCCACTAATGAACTGCAATTTACATATTCAGTCATTACAGTGGATGGGCCAGTTTAAGAAAGAAGGTGTCTTCTCTGCAGACATTTCAGCCCTGATTTCAGTCTTTAGTTGCAAAGACTACAGACTACAGAATATGATTTCCTCCCACTTATAAATCAAGAGTGACTTCATGAAAACAAAAGAAAAAAAAACCCAAACTCATCACATTTATCTATCCTAGCTATCATAAATGAGAGGAGAACTAAATCAGTGTATTGCATTGTGGTGGAGCTGTGAGATAATTATGGAAATGAGTAAACAATAATGATCATGATTTCTTAAAATCTTGATTATTATGTGACCTTACATTAGCGCGTGCTATCTGAGAACTAATTACATTGCTTCTAAAGTTAACTATGCCATTATATATAATTTTTTTTAATGTATGTAGATAAATCTGAACCTAATGAGAAATAACTTCTCTTTGTAGTAAATTTGGAAAAAGACAATTGCCCTCCGTGGAATCAGGCTGTAACTCAGATCTCAACTGCTCCAGAATCTGAACCACGTTCTAAACCTAAACCTGACCTGGCTCGCAACACCGGTGTATTTGAGTAGTAACAGATATACAAATAATTCCGTTCTTACCTTGGGTTGAAATGCGCCTTGTAGCGAGCCAAACGGGCCAGTTGGAGGAATCATGGGAGGAATACCTGATACAGCTGGAGGATAGGAGTGAAACAGCTGTAACAAGAAGACAGAAGAACGTGAATACAAGCGCGCGTCCAAATGAAGACAGA